CTTCAGGAATGGGATCATCGTCGTTGAGTCCGTCCAGCGTGGGGATTCCGTCTATGGTTTTGACCAACCTCGAGTCTGCACAGATCCGTCAGAAGGGACGGAGAAGGAGAAGGGGGAGACACGTCCCGTCTGCCCAGCCAGAGACTGTTCACGTCCCGTCTGCCCAGCCAGAGACTGTTCACGTCCCGTCTGCCCAGCGAGAGACCGTTCACGTCCCGTCTGCCCAGCGAGAGACCGTTCACGTCCCGTCTGCCCAGCGAGAGACCGTTCACGTCCCGTCTGCCCAGCCAGAGACTGTTCACGTCCCGTCTGCCCAGCGAGAGACCGTTCACGTCCCGTCTGCCCAGCCAGAGACTGTTCACGTCCCGTCTGCCCAGCGAGAGACCGTTCACGTCCCGTCTGCCCAGCGAGAGACCGTTCACGTCCCGTCTGCCCAGCGAGAGACCGTTCACGTTCCGTCTGCCCAGCCAGAGACCCTTCACGTCCCGTCTGCCCAGCGAGAGACCGTTCACGTCCCGTCTGCCCAGCGAGAGACCGTTCACGTCCCGTCTGCCCAGCGAGAGAATGTTCACGTCATGTCTGCCCAGTCAGAGACTGTTCACGTCCCGTCTGCCTAGCCAGAGACTGTTCACGTTCCGTCTGCCCAGTCAGAGACTGCTCACGTCCCAGGCAGAGCCAGTGCCTGTTCCAGAGCCGGAGGCAGAGCCAGTGCCTGTTCCAGAGCCGGAGGCAGAGCCAGTGCCTGTTGAAGAGCCAGTGCCTGTTGAAGAGCCAGTGCCTGTTGAAGAGCCCGTGCCTGTTGAAGAGCCCGTGCCTGTTGAAGAGCCCGTGCCTGTTCCAGAGCCAGTGCCTGTTCCAGAGCCAGTGCCTGTTCCAGAGCCGGAGTCTGTTCCAGAGCCAGTGCCTGTTCCAGAGCCGGAGCCTGTTCCAGTGCCAGTGCCTGTTCCAGAGCCGGAGTCTGTTCCAGAGCCAGTGCCTGTTCCAGAGCCGGAGCCTGTTCCAGTGCCAGTGCCTGTTCCAGAGCCAGTGCCTGTTCCAGAGCCAGTGCCTGTTCCAGAGCCAGTGCCTGTTCCAGAGCCGGAGTCTGTTCCAGTGCCAGAGCCAGTGTTTGTTCCTGTGTTGGTGTCTGTTCTTGTGGATGTTACAGTTCTTATGGCTGTTCCCGAGCTGGTGTCTGGTCCCGAGCCGGTGTCTGGTACTGAGAGGGCATCACCGCCCTGGCCGCCCGAGGGGTCTTCACCGTCCTGGTCTGTCCCTCCTGCTCATTGGTTATGCGGTGATGCGGTATGAAATTAATTATAATAGCCTATCAATTTAATAATAAAAGTAGCCTAGGCCTTCCCTAATAATAATAATACAATAATAATAATTTAATACATAAATTGGAAATGCTAAATCATCTTGATATTGATAGCTGTCTGATGCTTGTTTTGACAATATCTCTGGATACATAATATCATCTATTGGCGCAACCCAGCTCGGGGCTTTATCGCACATATTTCACACGAATAGTGTGAGCAGTCAAGTCACAGCTTGACGTTCGGACCGTATAGTGTGAGCACATAAATCCTAAGCTTTGGCTTTACATCGCATGTGATCTACTCGTTCAGTGTGACTAGGTAACCTTGCTGAAATCACACAGACATCGCACAGTGTATGCCCGCGTTCAGTGAAGGTGGAGATGATTGGATCCTTGATTTTAATGAATCTTTTCAACATGTAGAATGTTGAATTCCACCTTGTCGCCTTATGATGTTTTAAAGGGTCATGAAACCCCCCTCTTTCAGCTCAAGTCTAGCTCACAATCTTTTTGAAAAATGCAACTTAAATGGGCGTGGATGGCTGTGAGAAGGGGTGTGGTAAGGCCATCACTGTCATCGCCAGTATCCCATGCATATCGACTGTCACTAAAAGCAGTGGTAAAACGTGAGGAAATGCTAGATTTTTTTTTATAGCTGGCAAAGTTAAAGTCTTATGAAATACGACACTTTATTATTGTCCTTTCAAAAGTAACTGAATGCCCTGCTATATTAGCCTAGTAAGCCTACAGTAATCGTAATTCTATTGAGAACATATTAATGTAGGCTACATGTATAATTATAATGTCATTATAAAATATATAGTTGTTTATAGACACTATACATATATTTGAAAATTATTAATTTTCCGCTTAAAAAAACGTTCCGTGCATAACCTAGATCTACGCACCCCCTGAACCCCCATTATAAAGATGGCTCTGTGGAGGTGGATGACTTCTCATTTTAGACACACACACACACACACACACCTCTGAAGGGATAGAAAAGTCCTCGGGACTTGGTACCGCATCACTCGCAAGACGCAACCTGCATTGGTTGTAAACAAGGCGAAGTCCACCATTCTCCAATTCTCGAAGCTCAAAAATGTTTGCGGCACACACGTTTAGATGTGTCCGTGGTTGATGGAAAACCAACCGCCAGAGTCTAGCCCGGGCAGCATTGCGGGGAAACATATTCAACCCAATTGGACTTTTGCACCACGAAAACAAACACTTGCGTGCGTCCCATGATTGCCTCTCTCATCTACTACGCGATATCACAGTTTGACATGTCTGTCATTGGAAAGATCCACGTGGTGTCATGAATAATTAAGAGACCGTGTCTTCTCATAGGATATGAAAACTCAGTCTCATTAATAATTATGAGACACCGATGAGTCATCAACAGTGTTGGGGTAGTTACTCAAAAAAGGTAATTAGTTACTAGTTACTAGTTACTTCTGTAAATTGTAATGAGATTACTTTACTAGTTACTGCGTTTGAAAAGTAACTTCACTACTTATTACTTTACTTTCCCGTTTCTTAATTTATGGACAAATATCATAGCCCTATCATCACTTAGCCTGTCTACATAGTGTTTATTGTATAAATATATACAAAATGGCATGTAAAACCATATGAAAGAACAATATCCCTGTCTGCACAAGGAAATATATCTCACTGTAAAATCCACAAACAACAGGATAAAGGAGGCTATGGTGCGGTCATTTTAAAATGGGGTCAACACACAAGTTTTAAAACACAGGCTTTGGGAAACATGAGAATAAACTCTTCTCCTGAGAACAAAACAAGCTTTTTATTCGACTCATGGCAATAAAAAAAAAAAATGAAGTGGTCAATGAAAAATAATAAAATAAAGGTCACTTTTACATTTTTAATCTTAATTTAAAATGCATTTTTCTTGGCGATTCAATAGTCGGCAGGGGAAGCATTCCTCTACAATGAACCCTGCAACAAGCCTGTTCATTTTGTTTTGTGTTACCTGCTGTGCTCCAAGACTTGAGAAGAGTTTTTGTAACAGCGCGCGCGGCGCCGAATCCGAGGATGAACGACTTCAAGAAGCCGAATCTGCCCGAGCATGTAGCCTACGTCTCACCGTGACCGCACCGGCACACAGTTTGCGTGTCTAAATCAGTTGCTTATGTTTACAAAATGAGCCTACAATAGCATAATAAGCATTTTTAATAGAAATATCCATGTTTTATAAAATGTCCACGAAACTTAATGAAATGTTAGTGAAATTAGAAACTATTTAAGAGATCGTTGATTTAGTTCTATAGTCTACATACATGTTTTTATATCCACATTTTGTTCTAATGTCACAAGTCATAATCTCAGGGTTTACTGGATTTTACGTACACGATTCTTTTTGTAGTGTTATTGGTGGTGATGTAGCCTACTAAAATAAACATCGTCACGTGTGGACCTTTCTTCTTCTCACCGTTGATTCCTGATGGTTAAGAGGACAATTACTCGAGTCGCCCCGTCGTTTCACAGAATAGTACAATGGCGAGCGCGTCGAGTATAAACGCCTCGTCCGTTTGGGGAGGTGCGCGTGCAGTCAGCGGAGACTCGCGCTGCAGAGACCCCCTGTCTCCGTCTCCGTCTCCATTTCCCTCTCTCCTTCGCACCGGCAGCTATGTCACTCAAATTGATCTCTATGGCAACGGTGCGCACGCACCACTAGACAGAACTTTACACACAAGCAAACACGGCTTGGGTAACGCAGGAAAGCGCGTTCCTATAGTATAGTAAAGTAGTGTAGTTACCGATATTTTTAGTGTAATGCGTTACTTTACTTCGTTACCCAAAAAAGTAATATCGTTACTGTAATCCGTTACTTTGTAACTCGTTACCCCCAACACTGGTCATCAACGCACTATACTGTGCTCTGCCACGTCACAGCCTGCGATGAAGATTTTAAACCCGGAAGACGAAAATAGCGGAAAGAAACTAAAATTTAACCATTTTCACCCTACTATTAAATCTAACAGATGCCCACATTGTCTTCAATGGTGTTCAACACACATACCTCTGATTAAATCTCAGAAAATTGGGTTTAGGGTTTCATGACCCTTTAAACGCAACTGCTCTTGACCCATCTGTTTTTGTCTGGCCATGAAATTGTCTGAAGCAACTGTACTTCTTGGAACTATGGTCTTGCACTGAATAATTCCTAAATATAATAAAACATACAACAAATACAACATTACATTAGTATTATTGACTGTAATACTGAGCTGTGAAGCAGTCATGTGACAAAAAAAAACAAATGACTCGGACCAGAAGACTCGGGAGTAGGGACGTGAACTAATCATTTCTCTTTTCCGTTACAGACTGCATAGCTTTGGTCTATAGAGCTGTTACATGACAAAAGAACGAACGACTTGGACCAGAAGACTTAGGAGGTGACCTAATCATTTCTGTTTCTTGTACAGATTGCAGAGCTTAAGTGGCTGTCACTAAATAATGAATAATTTCTGTTTCTCATAATTTGGCTAGAGACGCTGACTTTGGAATTATTAACTTGTAACATTTTAATTGAATTCTGCTGAAATGAACAAATGAGTTTGTTCATTTTGCTGTACAAAATATAAAGATCAGAGTCAATAAAATGATCTGAACATCCCATCACTAGCTACTACAGCCATATAGTGTGAACATGTGTATATAAAAAACTCACTGATTCTTTTGCAGGTGTGCAGTACAAACACAGCTGCCTTTCTGACCTCTTCATCACTGGCCTCAGTGAGCAGCGAAATCATAATTGGCAAACCTCCAGCCGACAACAACTGAGATTGGTGCTCTACTGCATAGACAGAGAACAGACAGAATAATTACAACAATATACAACATTTGTATCAAGATTTCAGTGCTTGAAATGAAGCAAAACAAAACTGCTATACTGCTATGTACGTAAACAAATACTGTTAGTGTATTTGCAGTGCTAAGGCCCTTTCACGATAACTATAAATATAACTATAACAATAACTACATTAGCATCAAAACCAATGCACAATTTAATTCTGTTTATTCTAAGCATCCGCTACAGATGTGTCGTCTGTCACATTAAATGCTCAAGCTCTTTGAAGCAGGATGGTAACTGATTGGTTGTCAATGTTTTTAATCGGTTATCAGCTGGAACAAAATCGTAATTAAAGTGATTCCAAAGATATTGTTTCTTCGTGCCATTATCATTGTGTTGTGGATTCTGCTATTCTTTTATATTTAGAATGATTTTTAAAACTATATCTTTATAGTAATAGTTATCGCTCTTGGTGTAAACAGGCCTTTAAGCACCCATATGTGGTTAAACAGATGCTGGAAAAAATATTGATATAAGAATGAAGACAAATCGTAATATTATCTTAAATGTATGTTAAGCTTGGCTATGCAGAAATAATGCGAAAACTTTTTGACATAACTAGACACAAATCCCTGGAGCTGCCTAAAGCCCTCTGGATGACACAAAATGACACATTTTGCTTCATCAGATGGATGTTTTCTAACAAATAAACAGGGATATCTGGGTGCAGGTAATGCAGAAAAAGAGTAGACAATATTAATTTACATACGGTATACTACCGACATTGTAACAATAAAAAGCTGGTTTAAATTCGGCAAACTTTTCCTTTAAGCGCATCTGGCTAATTGCAGAAATTTGTTAAGAATGATAAAAAGACATTTTAATCTAGAGTTCACTTTGCAGGCACTTATATACTGGAGCTTTGCTTGTGTATGAACTGAATGCAAACCTGATTTCCAATCTGCATATTCCCATATAGAAGGGTAGATTAAGATTGGTCTATCACAGATGAAAGTTTGATCATTATAGTAATTTAAAGGTACCCAGACTGAGTAGTTTCTGGCAAGCTTTTGAAGTAGGCATTAGAGAACTCTTTTTTGGATAATTATTCCCACACACAAGAGGTTCGAAATGTTTTATGATGCATCATCAAAATGCAATTTCATGATGTACAATGTCCCAATGCCTGCTAGCGCTTACTTCATACTTAAAAATACTAAAAAAAATTATAGTGCACCATATAAATTTTGAATTTGGTGGAATGCATGTCATTTACAAGTCTTTTACCAACACACTCACCACAGGCATCCGTGAGGTGTCCAATCGTCAGCACCACGGCGAGCCGGTCTTGTTGGTCAAGGTTTGGGCTGGACAACAGACACAACAGCCCTGGAATAACCCTCAACTCTGATAAAGAAGATACCAACTGCTCTGAAAGACAGAAAGAGAAAGGAAACAGCATTCAAAACAATATGAACCCAATATGGTTCTCTTGGTGTGTGCATGCATTCATCTTACCATTGTTTGAGATGCAGGCCGAGAGTGTTTTAGTGATAACCGTTGCCATCTTACAAGCAGCAGCACTGTGTACAGACTGAGACAAAACTCTGGTAAGAGTGTCTGAGAGTGAACTCAGGCCTCCCACTGACACAAAATACTCCTGAGCACAAGCTGAAAAACACATTCATATGAGATGAGAAAATGAGCACATAAGATGCCATTATATGTTATTTTGTGCTGATGTGCTTTGTGCTCACGGTTGTTTGCCACAGTCATGCCAATAAATGAGCATATAGGCTGTGCCAAATCTGCCCTGGGCAATGCCACTTCCTGCAGCCAGGTCTTCACCAGGGGAAACACATGCATACATAAGTTCTGATTCTCCTCTGTCATAAACAAATACATGGAAGATTGTCAAAGTGTTCAAATGCATGTGTACAGAAAAGTCTGTCTCTCAATCTACATAACAGTTTGGGGTTTAATGATGGTAAATGGGAGAGAAGGGATAGAGAATATAACCATACCATTCTGAGGGTTGTTGACAGAGCCACAGAGAGCACTAGACACAGTGGCCCACAACTGTAGCTGCTCAAAAGAGTCATTGGGATCTGGAAAACTATGCCTGAAAAGTGTCATAAGAAAGAAAATAAACTGAAAACTGGTCCTTTTGAGCAGCAAAGGAGTGTTTTTCAAGTAAATTTCCAGATGTTTATCTGGATTTCTGTGAATCACTTTAACAAACACCAGACAGTGTTTGAAATGTTCCTCTTCCACACCAAGTAGGGAAGCATATTACATTTTGTTTGGGAATGTTTTCATTTATCCAGTCTTGGAGACTTAGATGTATAGTTGAAAAATATATATAAAATATATACAAAATGAAAATACCCGCCCTCATCTTGTTCCAAACCTGTATTACTTTCTATCTTATATGGAACACAAAATAAAATAATTTGGACACAGAAAAAAAAGTCATAAAGGTTTGGAACTACTGTACATCATGGTGAATAAATTATGACAGGATTTTTATTTTTGGCTGGACAATCCCTAATTTACTTTCCATTGAAGATGCTTTGCCGTGCACCAGAATGGTTTCATTCTTGACATTTATTATCATTAAAATATTGTTACGTATTCTTCACAGGAGTTCCCTCCCTATAGGTGTTAATTGGGATAAATCTATTTAAACATTATGCAGATGGACACCATACACTTTACTTTTTCAGTTTCGCTGCAATTAGCACCCTTCAGGGGGTTATGTGACATCACAGATTTAAATGTAAAGGTATTAAAAAAAACATTAAATAATGGCAGATAATTAAGCAATACCTGAACAAACTAAACCTAATATATGTACCTGAACAAATTGAGCAAGGTTTCGATACATCTGGAGGTCTTAGCAAGAGTCTGTCCACATCCTGGAACACAAAACACAGATAAACAAACCATTTGTGAATTGACAACCTGTTCTCTCCCCACTCTATAAAATCACATTATCAGCACAGGAATGGTCTCATTGGATGTAAGTTTTATGGTGAATCTTACTGTTGTTGGCAACCAATACAGACACCATGTACACCGCTACTCTTTTCTCCGTAAGTGGCATTTTTTGTTCCAGATGCTGTGCTAAGTCACGAAACGTCTCCTCTCTGCACAGTGTCTGTTTACAGCTCTCTGCAGGGAGAAAATATGTTTATAGTTAAATATTAAATCTCAAACAATACAAATATTTTATCGATATATATAAACTGCATACAAACCTTGCAATTCAGCTAAGGATGCAAGTGTAAATAGAGCGGTCTCTTTAACCTGAGAGAAAGTGCTGGACTTTGACAGGTTATAGATGAAGGAAATTCCTCCAATCTCTCTGAAGAACTCCACATACTGATCTGATACAGAGAAATCATTAAAGACAATCAAAAGTGTCATTAAAGTCAAATATTTTCAAGTTTGTTTGAGGCAGGTCATATTTTTGTGTCATATGAGTATGTACTGAGCTGTAAATCAGACCATTTTGTTTGCAGATTGAGATGATAGTGAGAAGAGCTTGTTTCTGTGAGCCAGGCCATTTCATCTGGTATTTCAGACATTCCAGTAACAGACGCAAATCTGTCTTAGTAGCTGAAAACGTGAACACTGTTAAATCATTTAGAAGCAAAATTCTGAGCAAAATACATACTTGGATCTGTACAATAGATGGGTACTGTGCAATAAAATGTTGCCACCTCAGACTAGGTACATTACAACAGAAAACAAACCAGAGGTGGTAAAGCATTTTACTAGAAACTGAAACAGTAACCTCATAACAACTTTCATTAGTCATTAAAACATTACATATTTGTTTACAGATTAAATTTAATAATAATACAAGTATGAATAAATTATATTTACAGTTATGCATTTGTCAGTTATCTATCTATATTATGTTATGTAATTGTGTTTGCTAATGTTGTTGATGAAAGTTATCATATTGTTTTATACAATTAAACTTATTGTTATGATATGATGTTGACCTTCCATTTTTCATTTCATTGGACTCATTAAACCATCCTTTCCACCAATGCGCTCAAAGTGTCACTATATCCTGCAAAAAAACATCACAAATGTTGTTAGAATATGGTATATTGACAGTAAGTAAATAGCATTAACTATAAGTAAAACTATTTCGTCAACCTCACTGGACTGCCACAATATTTACCTTCACGATTGAAGGGTTTGGTTAGCTTACATCATATCCACGGACCACAATCCTAAAGTTTTTACAATAGAAATGTTTTAATTATGATTCGGCCAGAGTCGTTAAATTCCTTCAGTTCTCGCAATCATTTTATTGATTGATTAACGACATTTCAACGGAAGATCTTCATATTCCCGCTCCATAATGTGACGCTCTTTTGAATCACGTGATTTGAGCCGCTCATGAAAACCAAAAACAGCATAGTGCATGAAAATCGCAATTAATTAACTTATATTATTTATTTTGGACGCACATTTATATGTATATTTGTTTAGTTACGAAAAACACAGTGTATATATATACTTTTTTTTTTAAGTATTCTCCAAAATGTTGAGTACACATAGGACTGTAGGGGGCGCTGGGATCTGCATGTTTTGCAACCAGCTGCGATGGAACTGAAAAGCACTGCAGAAGAAGAATCATTCGGCGAGTAGTGGCAGGTATGTCTTTTTGACTCAGCATTTCACTCATATTACTAAAGCTGCTCTTTGAGGGAATTGTTCCACTGACAGTTCCCCAGCATATCTATTCAATTACACAATCTGCAGACAAACATAAATACAATGTAAAATTAACCATTGTGCCAATTTTATCACGAAAGCCGGTATGTTAGCTTGTAAAGCTAGCACGTTTCACTTTAAACCCATGGTTTAAAGGTAAACTGCGTTTATACGTATGCCTATATCGATTTTATTTTTACTCTCACAGATAACGTTATGAGAATTCGACGATGTTGGATTTATTACATTACAGACGCATCAGCAGTTTAAATGTTTTGCTTGATTTAAGAGTTGGAATAGTTCATAACTATGTCTATTAACATTTTTTTAATCTTTGTGGGTTATATCACTAACGTGAGCCTGTAAAAACAACTATTTTTGCTACTTTTAATCTACACAACATGTTGCTGTTCATTTCAATTTAAGACCGTCTGTTAAGTTACTAAATGAGATCTCACATTGTGTTTTCCCAGATGCTGGAGTTGTAGACTGCTTCAGTCACTGCATCCAGGCAGTAATGTCTGGCTATTTGCATTCAAGACTCCTCTTTTACACTGGCGGAAGACATCTGTCCCGTTTCTTTGCAGCCAGCCAGCATGTTTTACCTGTTGCACAGTTTAGAACCTGCCTGTTCCCTTCTCAAGCCCGGAGCTTCTCCTCCCGTAGTGGTCGATCAGATGGAAGCTCAGGACAGGAAGGAGAGAACACACTGTGTGCTCCAAGACATGACATGGACTTCCAGCTGAGCCGGCTGCAGATCAATGCTGTTCTGTGTGCTAACGAGCAGTCTGTTCGTATTCCAGAATTTGATGGCCGTGGTGGTCCCAGTCCGGTGCTGAGGTTTGAGAGTAACCAGCTTTCAGCCAACACTCCGCTAGAGGACCGACGCAGCAGCGCCAACTGCCTGCAGACTCGTGGCATGCTTTTCGGCGTGTTTGATGGACACGGCGGACATGCGTGCGCTCAAGCGGTCAGCGAGCGCCTGCCTTATTACATTGCTGTGGCGATGATGGCAGAGTCTGTCCTGGAGGATCTAGAGGCCGCCATGGAGACCGTACGACCCGTGCCGCCCATCCTGCAGTGGTATAAGCACCATAATGACTACAACTACAGGGAGTCAGCAGCCCTCTACGTCGAACATTTGCGTGTTTACTGGCAGGAGCTTCTGGCAAGTGAAGAACACGGTGACGGCATGCACCCTGATGATGCTCTCGGCTATGCATTCCAACGACTCGACACGGATCTTTCCCTTGAGGCGCAGGTGCCGCTCGCAAATGACCTGATGCGGAACACAGCCATCCAGGCCGCCTTTGCTGGCTGCACAGCTTGTGTGGCTCACGTTGGACCAGGGGGTGTGCATGTTGCAAATGCAGGAGACTGTCGGGCAGTGTTGGGTGTCCAGGAGGAAGATGGGAGCTGGAGTGCTCTTCCACTCACACAAGACCACAACGCTGCCAATGTAACCGAGCTGGAGCGGATATGTAGGCAGCACCCGGCCAGTGAACGGCAAACCGTGATCGTAGATGACAGGCTGCTCGGGGTCCTGATGCCGTTGCGTGCTTTCGGTGACGTGCGCTTTAAGTGGAGTCGTGAGCTACAGCAGAGTGTTCTAGAGAATGGAGACTCAGATTTAGAAGCGTTGAATCTTTATCAGTATGCTCCACCTAATTATCTCACCCCACCTTACTTGGAGGCCACACCAGATGTCACCTACCACCAGTTGCGGCCACAGGACCGATTTTTGATTTTGGCCTCTGATGGTCTCTGGGACGAGATGAGCAATGATGAGGCAGTCAGGCTTGTGGCGGAACATCTGACAGGTATTCATCTGCAGGCTCCGGTTTCAGCCAGCCAGCTCAACTTGGGACAAATGCAGCAGCTGCTGTTGCGGCGACGGGCCAGGGCAACACCTGCTTTGGATTTGAATGGAGCCACACACTTGATTCGCCATGCGCTGGGCACAAATGAGTATGGTGAGGTGGACCAGGAGAGATTGGCAACCATGCTGGCTCTACCTAGCGATTTAGCACGCATGTACCGTGATGACATCACTGTCACCGTGATTTACTTTAACCCGAACTTCAACAAAACTAAAAACTAATAAAGAACAACATTTTAAAGTTTCATACATATACAATTAGATTTGAAGAATTGTTTTCAGCAGAGATTTTTTTTTTAATGCTTTTTTAGGCAGTTTTTTTTTTGTGTGTCTTTTATATTGTTTCATCCAGTGCACTGCATACACCTCAAAATGCCTGCAGGTGACTTTAATTTGAGTTCGCAACAGATTCTTGCATTTTGTTTTGGAAAATGTGAATACAAACAATGGGTAGAATTCACTGGTTCATTTTAAATGACACAAGGTTACAAATGTGAAGGTACATTAGGTCAAGTCTTAATCTGTCTATGTAGGCTATGTTTTATATTACATTAGGCTGTTTATTTTTATATTTAATGTCTACAAATCGTTATAGTTATACTGAGTATATCTGTTCATAGAAGTGGTCATTTAAGTGTAATTTTCACAACAGTAGAATTAGAATAATGACAAAAATGCTTTATTCCATAAGACATTAATATCACTTGCATTAAGTTTAAGTTGCTGTGCAGCCTGAAGATTACATGAATTAAGCACACTTGGCTTCTGCTGTATGTTATTTGTTTCTGAGCTGTCTTGGCTTGTGCTATGAAGACATTTTCACTTTGCACTTTGTAGTGACTATTGGTTGTGTCAAAGTACCACAGCAAAATTCTTGGCAATGGTTCAACTGATAATATTTGTAGTGCAAAGTATGAAGGTCATAGGGGCCGGTTTTATGGAAGGTTTTATTATAAGTTATGTGTAAACATTTCAAAATCACTTTTTTTCAGAGAAACATTGTCTTTGTCTTACATAGCTTGTGTAGATTTATGAAGGTAAACATGTGCACCATATTTTCTGGTAGTAAACAATGTTGTGATTTTTATATTTTTGCTACTTGTCTATATTGTTACTATTTGTTCTGTTCTAATTTGAGTGACAGACTTCAGAGACTCCTCTTTCGGAAATTTTAAAATGGGATAATATATTCACTGCAGAATTTTGTCTTTGTATTTTTATGATGTCTGTTATATTCAGTCTATCTTGTTATTAAAGTGTTTAATCCAAATTATCACATTGATTGTTGATTTTTTCAGAATGGCACAAAGATAGAAGCAACCACATTGTAGTCTCTGAACATGGAAATATTATGTTATGCCTTATAAGAACATGGTTATTAAATAAAATGATGCTAAAACACCTCAAAAGGATTCATATAAAGTAAAATATACATTTTACTCTCTGGTCTAAATTCTGTAGTTATTGGTATCTGACTTGGAATGACATTTGTAGTCAGATATGTAGAATTTTTTTTTTATAAGAATGAGAATTTCTCTTAAGCTGATGCTTAAACCAATTTATCTGTTATACAACATCTAATAATAGGCACACATAACAGGTGAAAATGAATTGAAAATTTATATAAGTATTATTGTTTAAATTTGTGCAAATATTATGTAAATCTCTGCATTTCATAACGCCATTAATCATCAGGCCACTGGAGGGCTCTGCGGATTGACCTCAGCCGATGATCTGCGCATGCGCGTTCCGCCCGCGGAAATTCAAACGCTCGAGCTCAGCTGACAGACAGACAGACGTTTGAAAACTCCACTAACTCTGACACGGTTCTTTTACTGAGGTAAGAGTTAGACAAATATATTTTAACGATAAAACGGACAGAAAAGACTTAATATATTTAAACGCATACCATAGCTTTTCACTCTTTACGACTCCGACCATTTTGGATTTCGTATTTTCAACAACGTTCAACAATGATTGCTTGCTAGCAGCGCATTGGCCTCGTAAACTCGATTTATGAAAAACACGTATTTTCGATCGTTTAGATTAATCCGTAATCTTAACGTCAACGGTCGTAGTTTATTGTTGTTGATATGAAGATTTGAAGTGAAACTATGAATTGTTCTTCTGTACTATGTAAACAAAGTTAGTAACACTTTTAAATATGTCGAATTTCATATAACGTTAGTCTATCATTTCATGTAACATCTGAGATACATCTGACTGGACAGTCTCTTTGACTTGAATATGTTGTAAAGTCTAAATTAAACTTAATTTTGTTGAACTTGAAGCTGTTTTTCAACTGTCAGGTGAATGAAAAGATGGAAAATCAAAAGAGACCGAGAGATCCACTGGAGGAAAACCCTTCAACTTGTAGTGCTAGTGGTAAGACTCTCACCTCCTTCATGCTTTATACACAAAAAACAGTGTGCTAGTGCCTACCTAGACACAGCATTTATGAGTGTATTAATTTGTTAATTGTTGAAAAGTCTAAGATAGAGCAGCTTGAGTTCATTCATTTTCAGCTGAGCTTTATTGTTTATATACACAGATTATATGTGACACTGTCAGTTTAACCATTAGGCTACATAATGTTTTCTAGAACTTGCAAATGTGTTGAAGAAAAGGCGGTTGGGAGGGGGAGATGAGAACCTGGACCCCACAAAATCCCCTGCTAGGACACGCTTGAGATTGGCAGAGCTAGAGGTGAAACCAGACACTCCAGCCATATCCTCCATCCGCTCCAGGGTCCAGCAACTCAGCCAGAGACGAGATGGTAATTTGAATGTGAAAATCTTGATGTTAAAATAGCATCACAATTTTAAATGTGAATTTGAATGTGAAATCTTGATGTTAAAGCTGCTGTCCGTAGCTTTTTTTGGGTTAAAAATTATCCAAAATACATATTTGATAAAATACATAACCAGCCAGTGTTCAAAACTCTCTGCTTGCCTTAGCTCGATGCAAAACGGTAAGCTTGTAATAATGTTTTTAATTTTAGTGTTACTGGTGGATTTCCGCGGGAGATTCGAGCATGTCTTTGCGTCATTACGTCACATCTGTACACATAAAGAAGGAGTCTCGGCTAGTATAAGCTATATTGCGTGTGAGGATGTTGGAGGTAGAGATTTATAGCCTTTTCTCACAGCACTTGATATAATTAAACTTATCAATTTGATGGCGGATCCAGAAAGGTTCAAACGACGATCATCATCAGTGACAACTAGAGACTCACCCGCTGTAACATGCAAAAGACTTCGTTCGGACTTCGGAGTGGCTACAGAAAAAAAGAGACTGCAACCGGACCCATGCGAAAACAAGGATAATATCGGAAGGACATTACATGATGTAGTCACGCAATGCTTGCTGACGTTGTTAACATTAACAATTAGAGAACATAGTATAGCTACTTTGCACGGTTTTGCGTGAAATGATAACTTATAAGCAATTGTTAGATTTAATCAGCGCGATTTACTGCAATGTCAGAACCAGAACAAAAGTGAATGTTTCTTACTAGTTCAGATGACATTTCCTGGTGAAAATTCTTATGTTGGTCATACTTCCAAAAAGAATAATCTGTGATTCTGAATGACAATATCCACATCGGCGCGGTGACTGACAGTTGCACACTCTCCTCAAACACTGTGTTCATCCGCGCTGTGCCGTGTCGAGGGTGTTGAACTACAACCCACGTAAAGTTGATAATTCCGCGAATGACTGCAATTGCAGATTTCGAACAGAGATGGCGACAAAGAGGAAAAATGCCGGACTGCAGCTTTAAAATAGCCATGTTATTATTTATTAACTATCCTACGTTCTCTTTTTATAATGCATGCTCATTTTATTGCCTCAATATTTTTTAAATTGTGTTGTCGATATGCTCTTAGTCTTAATCAGGTTTTGTAATTATATTTCCGAAGTTAAGTAATGAATTGCCTTTTTTCTGATTGGTCAGGTGGGACTGGGTTAGTCCAGCGCTGCCTGTCTGACCCCGGGTCTGAGGGTTGCATCGGTGGCTTGACTTCGGCGGTCTGTCACATTGGTGCGTATTTTCTTACACACAGGCACAGTACTATGCTTACACACTAGGGATGCACCGAAATGAAAATTCTTGGCCGAAAACCAAAAAAAAAAGGGGAAACCAAGGCCGAAAACTGAAACACCGAAAGAAATTATGCCAATTATTAGTACCATTGCATTTATGGCTATGACTGTGTACAAACTTTACTAAAATCAAGGCATTGCAATTGCATAAATTAATATAAAATTTTCAAAGAATAAATCAATTACAAATTATGCAAATATTTATTTAGCACAATGCACAGTATAAAATAAAATTCAAACTAAAATGTTTAACTTGACCCCACTCGTGTGTACATTAAATAATAATCTACTGGCCTTCAGAAAGGTTTTAAAATTAAATGTTCTCTCATAAAAACAAAGCCGAGCATGAACTTCTCATCACACCAGCACCCAGTTTTGCACGTCTAAATTAGTTGCTTACATTTAAAAAAATGAGCATACAATAGCATAAAAAGCCTTTTTAATGAACAAAGGTCCATGTTTAATACAAATGTACACAAAACTTAATGAAATATGTTTAGTGAAATTAGAAAATATTTATACATGCATGTTCCCATATACAGCGGCAGTGGCTAAGTGGTTCATGTAGGTTGTCTACAAACCAGAAGGTTGGTGGTTCAATCCCCGGTTCCACCTGACCAAGTGTCGAGGTGTCCATGAGCAAGACACATAACCCCAGCTGCTCCCGACGAGCTGGATGCCGCTTTGCATGGCTGACACCGCCGTCGGTGTATGAATGAGTGAGTGAATGGGTGAATGCAGGGCTCGAAATTAACTTTTTTACCTGGTAGCACTGGTGCTCCCAACTTCAAAAAGTTAGGAGCACCAGCAAAAATTTAGGAGCACCCACCAAATTTGACGTTTAGCTCTGCCAGAAGAGCGGAACGACCGGCAGCATTCTGATGATTAAAAGCCTTAATAATCGAACCTGATTTGTTTTCCACACACTTGTCCCTGCATTTTTTTGTGCTTGGCACTCTCTCCTTGTTTAACCAAGCTCTTGCGCTTAAAATGTATTGGTTTTCGGTGGTGGCCGATGGACATTATCATCCTTTCTTGCCCTGTTTTTTTTTTTTTTTTTATTAAAGCTGTGATTTTACCACTGTATTTCATAGCTTTGTAAGATAAAATCCTTCTTTGCTAAACCTAATCATCATTTTGGTATATCATCATATCAATATCAAAAACTACAATAATAAAGTAGCATTAAAAAGTTTATTTTAACTAATTTTCTACCATATACAATTGAATACAATTAGCAGCTAGCTAACAACAACTTGATTTGCACTTTTTGTTTCTGGTTTCACCTCACTCCAGTCTAAACTAAAAGTTTTGGTTTTTTTTGGTAAGTTTTCTTCACATTGTCATATAAATAACCTGAATACTGTAGTTTATTAAGGTTAAATCTTCCTAACCACTCTTACTAAAAATAAATGGGGTAAGCACACTTACATTCTTATTTTAAGAGGTGTTCTGAGTAAATGTGGTTTGATTGGTTAACATTAGTTAATGCATTAGGCTAACTAACATGAACCATGAGCAATACATTTGTTACTGTATTTATGCATCTTTGTTAATCTTAGTTAATAAAAAATACAG